AACTCTTAAACATCAAAGATATGACAATTGCCAGGGCAGGCTCTAACATCCATATTCTGTCTCAGTCCACACTGTTGGAAGTTTTAGCAGTCACACTACTCGGTATGCTAGGAGCTATATGGATCCATATTCCACCACTACTAGTCATGAGGTGTTTATTTCAGTCAGAAAGTGAGTAATCTAGCTCTAGAACCTGATTTTAGAGAATGCTCTCTTAGAACACTCTTGGTACCAATTGTCTTAGGCTGGGTTCCTTAAAACAGACTAGGAGATGCGAGTTGCATGTGGAAGGTGTATTTCTTGGGAAAGTGAGGAAGTGGGAAGATAGGACTGAGCAGAAGGAGAGGCCATCACTGACTAAGTTGCATTGGAAGCCTTGGCCTATCTTGTGGGAAGCTGTCAAGATGGGATAGCCCTTCAGAGTTATTGCAAATTAAGCCAAGGGAAGGTTTTTATATCCCAAAGTGGCATGTCAATGACTGTAGATGTCTTGGAGGTATGGATAACTTTAGGTGAGGCAGTTCCTGAGCACAGCAGTTCCTGAATGCAACTATGAACTGTCAGCACTTGATCTTTCTAATAGTTGGGGGATGGTTGCATTGTTCCTGAAGGAGGACCATGGCTCCAGCTATGGTGTTCATATTGACTTACTTTGGCTATTGGGAGCTCTTCAAGTTGGCTGTTGTGTCTTTTGACATGACCCATTTTTCTTTTATAGCTACCAGAAAGACATTCCAGATTCTTCTCATATATCACCTGAACTAGAATTGGATTTGGGCATTTTTTTTTAAAGTGGGGAATGATATGTAGAGACCACAAAATGAAGTTTGCTTATTTCTCATTTCTAGGTCTGTTCAGTGGACAGGCTAAAATAACTATTTTTTGAAAGCAAAATCACAAGTTCAAATTCATATTGCCATTTCAAATTTAACACTATAGGGTTTTACTTAATTTCTTTGATTTTGTACTATTATCCCTTTTTTATATAATAATCTTATTTCATTAAGAACATTAAATATTTGATTTACTCTATCCTATTTGTTTCTATATATTCATATGATCACTTTAATAGTACTACTAATATTAGTATCAATAATTAGGCTACTAAAAGACTTAAAAAATAAATCCTTGAAGCTCTGTCTTTATGAATATATTCCAATGTATTCTAGAGTAACTTGAAATTTTTTTTTTTGTGTGTGTGAGGGTTGTCAACAGATATGTTTTTCATCTTGTTAGATTATAAGCATAGTAGATCCTAAAGATCAGAACATTTGATTTTCCATTTACTTTGAATTTCTAAGTAAACTTTATTTTACCACTATTTTTCATGTTATATATTGCAGTAGACATCTTATTCTGCCCTTTTTTTCTGAAGAGCTCAAAGCAAAATTGAGACAGGTAGATTTAGATAAAACAAAGATATAGTAAAATTAATTAATTTGTCCATGACCATAGGAGAAGGGAAGATGTAACTATAACTTAGGCTTTTTAACTTCATTTTATTGAAACTAGTTTGTAAACAGATAAGTTTCAGGGTTCAGACCACAAATATTACCTGAGTCTGAAATTTATGAACTCCATGAGTGCTATCTTTATGTATATCATTGTGGTTTATACTATACTAGTACAAGAATTTTGAATTATACTAATTTTATGAAACCAAAGAAGTTCAAATTTTTACTTTCAGATGTTAGGATCTGAAGCTTATTGATGATAAATTTTAGATTCATATATTATTATTATAAATATCAGGTTCATATACTATAAATTTTGACCTGTTTGTAGTTAAGAACTACATATGTTTTTCAAGTTTACTATTTTTAAAAACATTTAATTTGTTTTAGTAACTTTTTAAAAATAAGGCATGGTTGAATTTGGTATTACTTGGAATAACAGTTCCCAAAGAACAAGGCATGTCAGGTTAAAGTGCCTTTTCCTTTTATGATAAGGTTACTCTCCTGATAGATTAAAAGAATACTGCATGCAGATTTCCAATTGACTACCTTTCCATTGTGTGATAATAGAATTAATTGGTTGAGTGGAAAGAACACCAAACTAAAGTGCGATTTCCTAGAATTTTGTCAAAACGCTTGATCTTTAATCCTATTCAACTTCCTTATTCATTGCTTGTTGGAGGTCTCAAGTGGTCTTTTTATCAAATGTACAGATGACAGGAAGCCAGAAAGATAATTTACTGGATGATGAAATCAGGGTCACAAATAATCTGGACTCACTGTAGCCAGAATTTAAATTTAACACGATGGGCTGGAATGTATCTCAGTGGCAGTGTACTCTGGTCCTGGGTTTGATCCCCAGTGCCATAACAATAAATAAATAAGCACAAAGAATTATGATAAGTATAATTGTATATGTAGTTGTTTTATACTCCATTTATACCACATAGCATTAAAAGTATCCTAATAAAATAAGTCTAAAATCCTTTACTTATGTATGTTAATAAGAAGGGCTACCACATCTTGAGCACTTGCTTTATACCAGGCACTCTGTTAAGTGCTTTATGTAAATTTTATAATTTAATCTTGACAAGAATCCTGTAAAACAATAGTAGTAGTGGTACTAGCAATATTTTTTTAAAGAGATGTGATCAACTTAACATTTTTCTTAGTGCATTATATGTATACATAATAGTGGAATTCATTGTTACATATTTGTACATGCACATAATATAGTATTATAATTTGGCCAATTTCATTCCACAGAAGGAACATTAATAATATTTAACATTTACAGAGTACTTACTGAGTACCTGGTACTCTTCTAGACATTTCACATGATTCTTATAACAATCCTATAAAGTAAGTACTGTTATAGCCTTTATATACATGAAGAAATTGAGAGACAGAGAGGTTAAATAATTTGCTAAGGTAATACATTAAATGGAGCCAGGATCCAAAGTCAGCAGTGCAGTTCCAAATTCTTCCAAGGCACATTTCTTCTCCATTTTTCCAGATGTAGATCTTGTAGATTGGAGAGGATGAGAAACTTACTTTAAGTTTCTAGTAAGCTGGAGGACTAGGATTTGATCCACAATGTTGATTTTATAACTACCCTGCTGTATTCTCTCTTTTCCTGCAGCTTTAAGACCAGATGCTTTAATTATTGATTGTAATCTTGATAACAAGCTTATGAGGTTACTGTGGTACCTCCTGTTCGCAGACAGGAAACTGAAAGTTACAGATTCAGCAAGATGCCCCCAAATCACACAGCTAGTGAGTTGTAAAGTTGCAGTTCGCATCCAAGTCTTAAATGTCATAGTGAGCAGGAAGGGAAAGATGTGACAAACGACAGCATGAGAAAAACGACTTGCAAGTTCAGTGGGAGGTCGTGGGTGAGGCCACTGCCAACAAGGGGAATGCCACCTGAGGCTGCCTCCTAGAAGACAGCATTCAGAGCAAGCGAGGCGACAGTCCCACACTAGTCTTTACTGGTGGAACACACCTGGAGCTTTGTACACAAGTCTGGGACCCACACTTTAAAAAGAGCATTACTGACACACCTGAAGCTCCTCTGGATGTGAGTCCTCAGCACAGTGAGTGGTGTAATGTGTCTACAGAAGAACAATTAACAAGGTGGAAATTTAGTGTCTAAATATAACATAAAAGAGAAGACCCAGGGGGTTGAGTAGCTAATATTTGAAACATCATCTTGTGATGGAGAATTAGGTACAGTCTGTCTAGTGTCAGAGGGAAAAACTAGGCTGCACATGTAGAAAATCAAAGAGGTGAATTTGGTTCCACATAGGAAGGAAGACTTTTGTGAGACAGTGAATTAATTTTCTCTAGTAAAGAAACCGAATGATCATTAATTGTGGGTGATAAATATCTACAATATTAGGTGTGATGATTCTTAAATTTTAGTGGGTATAAGTATCATCTGGGAGAACTTGCCAACTACTGATTAGCATGCCTTACCTTTAGAAGATTGTTTCAGCAGATCTGGGTTAAGGTACAAGAGCTTGCATTTTTAGCATGCAATCCAGAAAGTACAATCAGGTGGTCACTGACTCTCCCTTTGAAAACTAGTGAAACTAAACTCAGGTCTCTTCCACTTATTCTACAAATAAAAATTTTAGTTAAAAAGTATGTAGTCAATATAACAACTATTCAAAGAAAGTTTAAGTTTATTAAAGATCCAAGATGAAATTTACTATGTTGACAGAATTAGAGATGAAATTACTGAACTGTAGTATATTAGGATATGGAAGAAGAAGGTGTCATTCTTGTTCATTGTCGTATGTTAGTAGCAAGATAAATAGAAGATAGAAATCCTGCTTGAAAAATTTTAAACACCTTAATTGAAGAACCCACTCTTTATCTGCCAAAGAGCAATCTACTGGAGTCCTGAAAAAAAGCTATGTGCTTATCCTAAGGTACAGCACCTGTGTGAGGACACTCACCAATCAGCCTTTAAGGCCCAGGCTTATATAAGCTGCAGCCCAGCACTCACAAAACAGGTGTGAGTGAGATCTGGCAGCAAGAAGTGTATAGCATAGTTGGTCTTTAAACTCTGGTCTAATTTTGTGGGGACTAAAGAGATTTTTCTGGCAAGTATATGATTGATAATCTTAAAGTGTGCAACTTTGTAAGCCATGGTTTCAGCCTACTATCTGCTAAAATGTTTTGCCCTTTGTAAATGTGTTTTTAAAAAGTGGTGCTGGGTGTAAGTTACTGTCCCATATTAGGGTCTTTTTTACTTAAGTTGCAAAATGACATTTTGTAAGTATTTTAAGCTCTTAAAGTTCTTTCCTTTGAAAACTTTAAAAATGAGCAAGTTGAGGAATTGGTATTCGTGGTTATTTTGTTGATTGATAGTGTTGATGTGCTTATTTAGTTCACTAAGGATTTCTTTCTAGCAAATGATTTCTGTTTTACTATATTTAAACTATATAATATTACCAAATGGCAATTGTATATCAATAATGAAGTCCTCATTTCTATGTAATTTCTTCTTGCTTCCTTTTAGTGGTTTCAGGTCTCCTCATAGGTTGTTTTGGAATCATGAGAGATGAAATTGCAGTAGCAGTTTTCTTTGTCACAAGATTGGTGAAGGAACATGAAAAACTGAGTAAACAGCAAATAGAAAAATTTGCAGAAAAGCTGATGATAATCTTGTTTGAAACATACAGAGGTCACTGGCACCCTGGTTGCCCTTCCAAAGGGCAAGCCTTCAGGTGAGAGAACTCATATGTGGCATGGCAAAGGCAAGTAATGGGCAACATAGACCATCTCTAGGAAAATGCAGGAATTTTGTTGTTTGTCTAACACATTCAAAAGTGTTATGGGGGTGCTGGGTTTTGTGGCTCAGTGGTGGAGCACTTGCCTAGCATGTGTGAGGCACTGGGTTTGATTCTCAGCACCACATATAAATAAATAAAATTAAAGTCCATTGACAACTAAAAAAAAAGTGTTATGGACTCAAATTCATTTGTTTGAATGTGGGTTTGAATGCCATAGGAACATGACAGTGTAATTGAAAGCTATAGACCTACCTGTGTGGTGGATTAGACAATTTGGTTTTTTGTTTGTTTGTTTGTTTCCATTTTGTTTTTGAGACCGGGTCTCACTGTGTTTCCCCAGGCTGGTGTGGAGCTCCTAGGCTCAAACTATCCTTCCACCTCAACCTCCTGAGTAGCTGGGACCCAGGGTGCATGATGCCTGGTTTAGACAGTTTCTAACTTGTTCTTCTCATGAAAGATGTTTGGTGACCTAATCACATGATTTAGTAATACAACACACATTCTGAATCATTGCATCAAAAATTGGTGTTTCATTCCTACTTGTAAGAGTGGCGGGTGGAGGGGGGTGGGGTGAGTGGAGCTGTGTGTGCGGGAGGATGCCCACAACATAATTTTGCTGCTGAAGTACCTGTCATCGTGTCCTCACTTCCTTTCCCTTTCCTTTTGATCCCTAAGGTGTATCAGGATAAACAATCAGAATAAAGACCCCATTTTAGAAAGGGCTTGTGCTGAGAGTAATGTGAATTTTTCTCACCTGGGACTTCCAAAGGAGCTGACCCTATGGGTAGATCCCTTTGAAGTGTGCTGTAGGTGAGTAATCTGAGTTTGTGTGCTGTGACTCCTGGAAGCCTTAGGTTATTTGGTCAGCTCTGTATGCCTTTGTGAAAGACAGTGCTCCAGAGCCTCAGCCAGGACATTGTTTGGCTATGATTTTAGATGCAAACTTCTGATAGATAGCACAGGAGTGGACGGAGAAGGTTAGCCAGAAATTTTTCAAAATACTTGCAATGTGACGTCAACGGCTGCACCCTGTTGCAAACTATAGATTTAACTTCTAAGTATTATATACAATATCGGGAAGAAAGGGGAATTATCTACCACTGGAGGCAATTTAGTCCATTAGTTGAACTAAAAGAAATTGGTCTTAGTCTTTTCCTAAGCAATTAACCAAAATAGCTCTTACGGGATGTCCTCACTAATTACAACAGTGTGGTAGCTGAAGGTCATAATGTCCTTTGATTTGTATTTTTAGACCCATCCCTTTTTAAAATAACCCTTTTTAAATGTTAACATGTTGTCTCCAGACAGGATTAGAGATAAAATTTGTGGGAAGTTGAATCCTTAATGAATAATTTATTTTCCTATTTAGGTATGGTGAGAAAAACCATCCATTTATAATTGCTTCTTTTAAGGGCAGATGGGAGGAATGGGAACTGTCCCAACAAATCAGTTATGCTGTTAATAAAGCCACATTAGACTACTCCTCTGGCACTTCTTCTGATGAAGAAAGTTGTAGCAAGGAACCCCGGATCATTCCTAAAGTCAGCAATCCGAAGAGTATCTATCAGGTCAAGTTCTTCTCTGTACTTTTTTCTATTCTATTTCTAGAAAGGCTGTGTTCACTTTCAAAAAGAAACAAAATGTGGAAAGAATGAAAATATACAGTTAAAAACAAAACAAAACAAAACTCTACAATGTTAATAATATGGCAACATTTTTTCTGGTCCCACGCCTCTATACATTACCTCTACTTGATTGAATTCTTAGGATCTGTGATCTTGTCCTCCTGTCTCTTCATACATTATTTAAAGACACACAGGTTTCCTTCCACTTAAATTCCCTCAGTAAATATTAAGGACTTTTTTTTTTTGAGGGATCAATAAAAAATAATCTCATTTATAGAAAGTTTGGAATATTCAGTAAAGAGTAAATTCTTGCCACTAGGGAAGGAAGGGATGGGAATTAGAAGCAGTTTCAAATAATTTTTTTTTCTCTAAACCACAACTCATGGAAAGATATACATATTCATATAAGAAATAAGTTTTATGAAACAATACTTATCCTTTCTAGCAGCTCTGCCCCATACATGAACTTAACTGATTTCAAGCACCTAATTTAATTTCATGACCCAGTTTGAAAAAGACTCATCTAGACTTTCTAACACTTTGTATTTTATGTTTGTATCTTAATTATGTTTCAAAATATTAAATGGCTTTAATACTTTAACATTCAATTACCTTCCTTGTAATTTGCTATTATCAGCAAACATTCTAGATTATTTCCACATTGCTGCTTTATAAAACTGCTAACTTGTATGGTGATGTCTGAATTTTATTTCATGAGATTTGATTCCCAAATATCAAATTATGAGGTCATTGGGTGTAGACGTTTTACAGGTTTGTAAAATGCACAAAAGCCCTTCTAGAAAGTTGTACTTCTGTAGTCTCGCTAGCTCCATGTGAGAGCATCTGCTTTACCAATTTTTCCCCCTAAAATTTCCTATTCTCATTTAAAAAATACTTTGATTAAAAAAATGGTATCTATAATAGTACGTGTGAAGCTAAATACTCAGAAAATCTCCATAAGCCCAAATGTTTTAGGTAGTTACTGTCTTCTGAATTTCCCCCTCATCTAATGTAGCATTATAGACCCTTTATGGCCAGTCAGAAGTATTTTATATTATTAGCAAATATTTTTCCCCTAGTCTTCTAAACTTTATATGTATAGTTTACATATAGTTCTCTATAACAATTTAAAACTAAATTATAAGATGTTTACCCTTGATTTTATTTTTAGGCTTAGAAAGATTTCTTCCATCTAAGGATCAGATCTGTAGTCAGTCGATTCTTTTCTTTCATAGGTATTTTCTGTAAAATATCCGTGTAAGTCATCTGAAATATTTACAAGGGGTCCTCCTGGGTCTTGGCCCCAGAGATCATGATCAGGCAGTTTTGGGTCGGAGTGGCAGGGGTCAAGTTGGAATGGGGTGAGGGAGAATCCAAGAATATTGAAGATTTGAATAATGTGCTTAATCCAACTGAAAAATTAAAGAATTAGTTTTCATAAAAAATATAAGGTGATATTTAAATTTAAGGTATGTGAAATGCTGGAAAATTTTCTATAGATGATTATCTAATTTTATTTCCATTCATTTGTAATCTTTTTGCTTTTGAGATATTTCACTTCTGAGTTGTGAGTTCATGTTTAGTTCTCAGAGCTACCTATTAGTTTAGCAATCTTTGTATTTTCTTTCTTTTTTCCAGATGGAAAACTTAAGACAGCCCTTTCAATCTTGGTTCCACATCCCCCGCAAAAAGAATGTGATGGATGGGCGCATAGGCCTCCCAGGGAATGTGCATCATGTCTTGCATAAGAATTTTAAGTGTTATAGGCAGCCTGCTGCTGTGCACCGGGTGGACAGGTACCACTGGATCAACACAAAACATTAACATGGTGGCCAGACGTGTGTTGGGAGAGAGATCAGAGGAGAGGCTTCATTTTCTCTAAAAAGAAAGCAAATTGAAGGTTGAGAGGCCCATGCAATAGAAAAAAAAATAAACAACCACATTAGGGACTGGATTGTGTGATGGTGAATCCTCACACACAGATCCCAACTCTGTTCTTAGCTGTGCTTTTTAAAAAAATACATTGGACTTTATTAAAATTAAATACTTTTGTTCAGCAAAAGGTAATGAAAAAAGAAGCCACGGACTAAGAGAAAATATTTGCAAATCACATTTTGACCAAGATTTATATCCAGAAAAAATTTTAAAAATCCTCAAGATTCAAATGAGAAAATAACCAAAAAACAAAATGGTCCCAAATTCTGAACCCCTCACCTAAGAGAGATAAAAATGGCAATAAAGAAGATGAAAATTAAGCAGATAAAAATTAAAACTACACTGAGAATTGTAACATGTACCATACTGATTCAGGATACTGATATGTGTATATAAGGGCAGGAAGTATATGGAAAATTTCTGTATTTTCTCTTAGTTGTACTTTTAATTTTTAGTTTTATATGAAGTTTTATGTAAAACCAGTAAATATATTCAATATGGTATGAAATGAAGCTATTGACCTGGATAAGAGTCAACGAATTATGACAATTGACAGTTTAAATAAATGTACTGTTTTTAATACTTTCCTAAAATTTGCTTTGTTGTGAGGAAGTTTTAAAAGTTTGTGTTTCTTCCCTAGCCGTTTTAAAAATTCCATTTTTAGTCTTTGATTTTAGGAAGAGTGATCCTGATAATACAGTATTCTGGCTTCAAGTTTATTGCCTGACATAACAGTTTTACTTCATAAGTCCAGTAACAGCTTGTTTGAAAATTATTTTTTAAGTTGCAACATTTCCGTGTGTATGTGTGTGTGTGTGTAAGAATTTGGCTCATTTCTAAGACTTGTTTGAGACTTAATCATGACTTATTCTAAAGTGATACATGCTCAATATAAAGAAATCAACCTAAGCAGGAAAACACCATTGTGAGAATAAAAATCTACCATTCAACTAGAAATGATCATTCTTAAGTATTTGTGACCATCTTTCCAGTTTTCCTCTGTATATATATACAGATGTAAGAATAGATACAAATAATTCAATAAGAGAATGATACTAGAGGAGCTAATAATGTTTCTTGGTTTATCATTCCATGAAGTAGGAAGGTGTATTAGAGACTGAATGATACTCTTAGCACAGAGAAATAATTGTAAAAATCTGAAGCTGTTTGTTCTTCTTATACAATGTGGATAGTGAAATGAAGGGTTAACTATAGAAGAGTTACTATATATAAGTCATAGTATGTACTTGGTTATGCCAGAGAATGGATTATTTTTCAGTACTGGGGAATGAACCCAGGACTGCACACATGCTAGGAAAAGGCTCTGCCATTAAGCTTTGTCCCTAGTCCAGAATGAATGACACTTCTTTCCTGTAATTTTTTATTCTAAATAGTTCTACATGACAGTAGAATGCATTTTGACACATTCATAGATGGAGTATAACTTTTCATTCTTCTGGTTGTACATGATGTAGTTACACAAGTTGTGTAATCATATATGCACATATGGTAATAATGTCTGATTCATTCTACCCTCCTTCCTACCCCCATACTCCTCTCCTTTCTCTTCACTTTCCTCTGTCTTATCAAAGTACCTTTATTCTTCTTTAGCCCCTCACCCCCATTGTGAATTAGCATCCACATATCAGAAAATATTTGGCATTTGTTTTTTTTGGGATTGGCTAATTTCATTTAGCATTATCTTCTCCAACGCCATCCATCCAAAATGCCACGAATTTTATTCTCTTTTATTGCTGAGTAATATTCCATATGTGTATATACAATATTTTCTTTATCCATTCATCTGTTGAAGGGCACCTAGGTTGGTTCCATAGTTTAGCTATTGTGAATTGAGCTGCTATAAACATTGATGTGGCTGTGTCACTGTAGTATGCTGATTTTAAATCCTTTGGGTATAAACCAAGTGGAGATTGCTGCAAAATTCTTATGGTACAGTACTAGAAATGGCCAATATAACTGTCAAAGATGGTACTCAAGAAGGAATACACTCTATCACTGCTCTAGGATTTTTGCTCAAAGGGAGCTGCCCATGAACTTTGGACCTCCTGTGTAATTCTTCAGACCTCCCAGGAGGCTTTGAAGCAAATATATAGGGAGAAAACATAATATATAGATATTTCTGCTGTGGTTAAAAGTAGTCAGTATACATGAAAAGTCCACAAATGAATAAATGCTACATCTATTAGTGTATCAGTATAATAACCAAACTAGATCTTCCCAGTCTATTTTGAAATTTTCAATAATCAATGTGTTTCACTTTTTCTTTAAAAAAATTTTTTTGAGATAATTGGAGATTATATGCAGTCATAGGAAATAATATAGAGATCCTATGTACTCGTTTACCCTGTTTCCCCCAGTGATAATAGTTTGTGAAACTATAGTACAGTGTGACAACAGATACTAACACTGATACAGCCAAGATGTAGGATATTTTCTTCACCAAGAGGATCCCGCTTGTTGCCCTTTTATAGTTACACTCACTTCCTTTCCACTCTTTATCCCTTTCTTAACCCACTGGCAACCACTGATCTTTCCTCCATTTGGAGATTTTTGTAATCTTAAGAGTGTTGTCAGTGGGATCACACTATAGGGAACTTGGAAAAAGGGACAGAAGGGAAATTCTGTTCATTGCAACGAAATCCTTACGTATTAGTGAGCCACAAATGCTTAGAACCCAGGAAACTTCAACTGATCACCCTTAGCCAGTCCAATCTCCGTCAGGAACTGGCATATGTTTTTGTTCTGGCTACCCTTCCCTTATCCATACTCTTGGATGCTCAAGCACAATACCATTGCAGGCAAATTTCTTAAACACCTTCACTAGTTTTTAATCACTAATCATAAGCAATCCCATGGACTGTAGTATGGGTCATCTTGTTTCTCTGTGGAATTCTTTTTAAAAAATATTTTAATTATACATGGACACAATATCTTTATTTTTATGTGGTGCTGAGGATCAAACCCACTGCCTCACATGTACGAGGCAAGTGCTCTGCCACCGAGTCACAACCCCAGCCCTCTGTTGAATTCTTATATGGCTATGATCCTCAGTGCCAGAAGGAGGCAGTTCATCATTCTCACTTGTATCCTCAAAGGGGTCAAAAGAGTGGAGGTTCTGGATAGTGGACATAAGGATAAGATTTCTTTTCCTTGGTGCAAACAGCCTGCAGAAAGGTGGCTGTGGGAGCCGGCTGTGAGGTAGGAGACCAAGCGGGGGGGGGGGGGGGGGGGGGGCGGGGGGGTTGGAGGGGGGGGGGGGGGGGGGGTCGTTGGGGGGCAGCTCAAGTAATTGTGTCTTTAAATTGGGGCATTTGATCCTTTTACTATCAAGGTGATAAGTAAAAGAAAACTCCTGCTGTTCTGTTTTAATTCTTCTGGTTGTTTTACAGATCCTTTGTTTACTTCCTCTCCTTTTATTCATCTTTTGAGGGGATAGTTTTCTGTGTTGATAATATTCCATTCTCTTTCTCTGGGGTCTCTGCTCTACTGTTGGATTTTATAGTTCCCTATGTTTTCATGATGGTAGGTGCCACCCTTTATCTTTTAATTTAGGACTCTCAAACATTTCTTGTGGGCCCTCTGGTGGCTATACATTTGCACTAGTTTTGGCTTTTGGCTTCTGCTTGCCACTGACCTTTATTTATTTATTTCTGAAAGATAGTTTTGTTAGTGTACTTGGCTGGCATTCCTCCCGCCCCCTGCCCCAGGACTTTGAATGGCCCATTCCATTCTCTCCTAGCCTCTTTGGTTTCTGCCAAGAAGTTTAATGGGGACTACCTTACAAATGGCTTGACAATTTTCTCTTGTACTATTGACAGTTTGATTATAATATGCTCAGAGTGAATCTTTTTTGATTGAATCTATTAGGGGTCCTTTAGGCTTCCTGGACCTGGGTGCTTATGTTTTTCCATAGATTTGGAAAGTTTTCAGCGATTTTCTCATAGGTTTTCTATACCTTTTCCTTTCTCTTCTGGAACACCCATAATGTAAATGTTGTCTTATTTAATGGTGTCTCATAAGCCTTGAAGACTTTCTTCATAAAAATTAAAAACAATTATCTGATGGGGTTATTTCAAAAGACTTCTCTTTAAGCTCAGAGTTTTTTCTTCTGCCTGATTGATTGTGCTAGTGAGGCTCTTGACTATGTTTTAAATTTCATTTATTGCATTTAACTCTGGATTCTCTGTTATGAACTCTATTTCTTTGTAGAATGTCTTGTTCATATCATGAATTGCCTTCCTAATTCTGTTAAATTGTATTCTCTTGTATCTCATTGTTTCTTTAAAATGATGTTTTTGAATTTTTTGCTAGACATTAGTTGACTTCTTTTTTTAAATTCTAATTAGTTATACATGACAGTAGAATGCATTTTGACACATCATGCATAAGTGGAGTATAACTTCTCATTTTTCTGATTGTACATGATGTAGAATCACACCGGTCTTGTAATCATATATGTACATAGGATAATAATGTCCAGTTCATTCTATTATCCTTCCTAGTATCTCTATTCTATTCCGTAGCCTCCACCCTTATTGTGAATTAGCACCCACATGTCAGAGAAAATATTTGACCTTTGGTTCTTTGGGATTGGCTTATTTCACTTAGCATAATATTCTCCAGCCCCATTCATTTACCTGCAAATGCTATAATTTCCTTCTTCTTTAAGACTGAGTAATATTCCATATGTGTATATACAATATTTTCTTTATCCATTCATCTGTTGAAGGGCACCTAGGTTGGTTCTATAGCTTACTATTGTGAATTGGGCTGCTTTAAACATTGATGTGGCTGTGTCACTGTAGTATGCTGATTTTAAGTCCTTTGGGTATAAACCAAG